ATCCGCCCCTTCTTCGGAAACACACAATAGACCCTTGGTATGTTTTCCGTTTGCGGACATCACATCCAACAGTCTCACCTGCCCTTGTGTGCATTTTGTTTCTCCTCTGCACGCTCAACCGTTCCCGAGTCGAAACTCACAATAGAACTGTTGCGGACCCTTTGACTCCGACCTGTCTGCCCCAGCACTTGCGGCCGAGAAGTGGCTTTCCGAGAATTCTCTTACAACACACTGAGCGGCCGACTCCAACGCTTTCCTTCGACGGTTTGCGGCGCAGTCGTCTCTGACACACACACACACTCACACTTCTCATCTAGTCTTCTGCTTCTTCGCCAGTCTGCCCACAGAGTCTATGCGTGTATGAGAAAGGAAGCCACATCAAAGGGGACGCTGGACCCTGAATATGCCATCCACGTCTCCCGTTCGCCACACATCATGTACGCCCGTAACGCCTCAAACCTATGCAGTGTCGTCGCCGCGGTGGTCGTTGAGCCGTGATTCTCTTCCTGCGCCAGTCTGAAAGTCTGATTCTCTACCCGTCCCCTTCCCGTGCCGTGCACCTGCCGCGCTTCTGACTAAGGAAAAAAAGAAACTTCGGACCCCCTTCCTTTTTCCAGGTTTGAAGTCCGAACTAACTCTCAAGGCCGCCGCAATTGTCCGAGTCGATCACCCATAGTCCGTGATGGAGAGATCCACTTTAGCCCGTATCGGAGGAGCAGAGGACGTGGGAAGCATATCGTCTCTCGTACGAAGCTAGCACGCGGGAGCATCCTTCCGTGTCCTTCGGAAGAGGGCCCGCGATGTCAATCCGATCCCAAACCTGAACTAACAGCAAAATCCCTCCGTGATGCAGTCATAGTCGTCGCCCTTCGACCTTTGCCATGCCATGCTTACAGTATCATGAATCACACAAACCCCCCTTGAAGCCATTCCCGCATATCGGCCGCATCGTCGGCGCCGCTTTCGCTCTCGCTGCGTGTCCAAGTTTCAAGGATTCGTCGTGTTTTGGTAGTGCGGCAAATGACTAACACCGCAGCTGCGCTTTCTCTAACGTTGTTTGCCCTCCTTTGCCGCCCATGCGCCCTTGCAAACTTGCTGCGGCGTTCATCTCATGACGTCGACGGGGACATCCCCAGCAGCAAGCAGGATGGCTGTCGCGAAAACGAGACGAGTTTATTTTGAGGATACCGCAGCACCCTACTGCGTACACACGGCGCCGGCAGCAGTTGGTAGCAGCGTACGGCAGCGGCAGCAAACATAACACACACGCCCTTCACACCACCACCTGACGGCTCTCGGACAATCTGAAGATTTGCCCCAAACTCTCTTCTGAAGATGCGTTGTTGTGCCGCTTCAGCAACGCCGCCAGCCAGTGACAGCCTCGGTTTCGGCAGTGTCAGGGACGCATACACACACACATTCCTGCCCAGCATTACTTGATTACCCGTTTTAGAGATCGCCGAAAGGACAGGGCAGTCCACCACCCCAAGACACAACGCAAGCAGGAGAGACACCACGCACGCGCGCAAAAAAACACAACCCACGAGCTTGGCCTTCCCGTCGGGGACGCAAGCAGGGGGGTCTCCTGTCCCGGGTTCCTGGACACGCACGCGCACAACTGACAACGAGGACGGCGACGCACGCGGTCTGATCATTGTCCGTTGGGCTGATCCCGCAAAAACAAAAAAAAAAAGCATGTTGTTTTGTCTTGTGTCGTGGGCTGTCTGGCTGTCACCTCACCCAGGAGCTGGAGGTGAGGCGGCCTGTGAGAAGAGTGCCGACCGCTTCAGCATATCGCTGTCGGCGTTTAGGAATCATGCCATCCGTGGTTTAATCGTGTCATACCGGCAGCCCAGGAGACAGACTGGCCATACTATGCAGTACGTCGTGAGAATCACAGTGATCGTGCACTCCCCTTACCCTTCCCTCCCTCCACCCCCTTCCGCGCCTCCACCAAATCAACCACCACTTCCATCATCGTGCATCCCCTGGGTCTTGGGTCTTGGGTCTTGAGTCCGCGGCCCCCACTCTCCCCGATCCTCCGGTTCGTGCCCCGTGCTCCCACGGCCCCATCGCTCCTTGAAATCCACCGATCTTGATGCCCCCCCGGCCCACATCCATATACATCACGGTGGGCAGATTCTCTTCGAAACACCAAGGAAGGGTCACAAGTCATGGTGCGTGATCGTTCGTGAAAAGAGCCCATCGCCAAGCCACTGAACCCAGCGGCGCGGCGCTGCTGTCCGTGCATTCTCTTAGACTAAGATAGACAGAGAGCTAGGGAAGAGGAAAACTCTACACGGCCCTTCTTGTGCTCTGACTCTCCCCTCATCTTGCCAAGACCCGACTGACAAGTGCCGCGGCTCCATCGCAAGCCCGCGATCGCGTTACTGTGAAGCCATTCCCTTGCCTTGCAAAGCACCCTAAAACAAAAACCCAACAACCATAACTGCCATTTTGCCCAGCGCCGCCGCCGCCCTCGACCGGTGCTCCTGTCAAACAAGCACAAATAGGGACCATCATGAGGCTCGTGCGCTTCCTAAACCTTTCAAACCACTCAGTGTGCTACCCAAGCTTCCCTTTCCCCCCCTCTCACCATCACTTATTTGGGGTAGTCCTTCAAGTGGTAGCTCTTGAGCTTGACAAACTGATCGTAGCCGAAGCGGCTGAGCGTCTGTCCCTTGCCCGAGTTCTTCCATCCCGTCCACGCTAGGTCCTGGGGTGGTTGTTAGTAAAGTGAAAGAGCCCTGACGAAGGTGGCTTGCGAGAGGGGATCAAAGAAAGAAACGACGTCATAAGGAAGGACAAAAGAAAGCGGTTGTAATGGCGGCAGTTCAAACACAACGTCAAGAAGAGGGCGAAGTAAAAGCCGTTCAAAGCCCACTCCAGTCGGTTGAGGTTTCTAGCTGCTTTCTAGCTGCTGGAACCAAGAACCCTGGTAAAGGGCCGAGCAGCTGGTGTCACGGAGGATGCCGGACGAACATATGGAAGGAGTGGGGCAGCACCGGGAGGGGTGTCATCCGGAGCGAACGGGAGGGCATTGAAAGAGAACCAGTGAGGCAGTGATGGGAATCAATCGGAAAGAATGCAGTTTCTAGAAAGGACAGCATTGTAGAACTTACCGGGCTAGGGAAATCGCATCGGTTGACGAAGACAGTTCCCGCTTCCACCTGGTCCGCGATCTCGTAGCCGCGGTCCGTGTCCTTGGTCCAGATGCTGGCCGTCAGGCCGAATTCGCTGTCGTTCATGAGCTTGACCGCCTCGTCGTCATTCTTGACGCGCATGACGGGGATGACGGGGCCAAACGTCTCCTCCGTCATCACCGTCATCGAGTGGTCGACGCCAGTGAGCAGCGTCGGCTTGACAAAGTTGCCCTTGGGCGGCGGGTTGGCGAACGACTCGTTCTCGGGCGTCGCGTCCTTTGCGCCCTTGGCGACGGCGTCCTGGACGTGCGCCTCGATGGTCTCCTTGGAGCGCTTCGAGATGACGGGGCCGACGTGGGTGCCCTTGTCAAAGGGGTCGCCGAGGACGTATCCCTTGAGGACCTTCTGCACGGCCTCGACGAAGGCGTCGTGGATCTCGTCGGCGACGTAGACCCGCTCGACGGAGCAACAGCTCTGGCCCGAATTGAAGACGGCGCCGTCGACGATCTCGGCGGCGGCCCAGTCGATGTCGACGTCGCCGCGGATGTACGCCGGGTCCTTGCCGCCGAGCTCGAGGCCGACGTTGACGACGCGGTCGGCGGCGGCCTGCTGCACGGCCAGGCCGCCGGCCACGGAGCCGGTGAAGGCGACGAGCTTGATCTTGGGGTTGCGCACGATGGACTCGATGAGCGTCGGCGAGCCGCAGTGGAAGTGCTGGAGGACGCCGGACGGGAGGCCGGCCTCCTCAAAGACCTTGGCGACGCGCTCGACGATTGTGGGCGTCTGCGGGGAAGGCTTGAGGATGACGGTGTTGCCTGCCAACAGGGCGGGAATGAGAGAGTTGACGAGGATGAGGTAAGGATACTGGAGTGGTGTTAGTCAGATGAGGTGAGCAGGGGTGGTGGCAGTTGCTCGTGATGTCTCTAAGTGGTGGAGTCGCCACTCAACGGCCACGAAGATGGCAAGACATATAAAAAACGTACATTCCAGGCAAAGATGACGAGAACCGGGCCAACGGGAACCTTGCGAATGAAGCGCTTGAAACCCTTCTCAGCCTCGCCGTCGGTGTCCTTGAGGACCTCGTCGCTGATCTTGAGGAGGTACTCGGCGCGCTTCACGGCGGTGGCGACCTCGACGCCGGTGTAGGCGATGGGGCGTCCCATCTGCACGGTGAGCTCCTGGGCGAGGTCATCCTTCAGGTTGAGGAGAAGCTTGAGTGCGGTCTTGACGATCTTCTGGCGGTCTGCGAGAGATGTCTTGCTCCACGACTCGAACGCCTTGGTGGCGGTGTTGGGAAGCTCATCTAAGTCGGCCTGGGAGATGCCGTTGCGGGTGAGGATGGGCTCGTTGGTGGTGGGGGAGATTGTGGTGAGGACTTCGACGGACATGATGGGCGGTTTGTGCTGGGTATTTGGGTATAATTATGAGAATAGAGAAGAAAAGTGAAGAGTGAGGTTGACGATGGTTGATCAGTTGGCAACTCGGCTTAGATATCCCCTTTGGCTGGGCCACATGAATCGTCACTTGGAGGGGCAAATGGAGGGGCAACACTGAACGTCGGTGAGGGGCGATGGAGCTGAGCTGCCCCGCCGACCGCGGAGCGCGCTGTGAGCGCGGTTGCAGATAAGATACCGATAGCTGTGATAAGAATGATGAGGTAATCAGGCTAGTCGCGGTTGACCGTTGGCTCCACTAAAACTTTTTTGCAGAACACCACGGCTGCTGCGATTGCATGTGTGTGTGATCAACGACGACTCCATATTCGACGAAGCCATTGGTTGTGCTGCGGACTTACAATCGACCCCGAGGATCTCAATCGCATACCACTGCCAATATCACTAATTCCGGTTGCTCACCATGGCTCCCGAGAAGCGAAACAAGTTCCTCGACGCCGACGAGAGTGAAGACGATCTCGACCAGGGCTACGACTCCGAGGCCGAGGACCTGCGCAAAGGAGGTCGCAGCGCAAAGAGACGCAAGGTCGACTCGGACGAAGAAGACGATTTCAGCGACGAGGAGCGTGAAGTTCCCACCGTTGCCGCCGAAGACGACGATGAGGCAGACGACGACGATGAAGCCGCAGACGCATCAACCTCAAAAAAGCCCACCACAAAATCCCCCGCAGACCTCCTCCCCGACGTCACCCGGCCCCTCACGAACAAGAACCTCGTGCAGTCCGAAGAGGCCGTCAAGAAGTCGGGCGTCGTCTACATCTCGCGCATCCCGCCCTTCATGAAGCCGCAGAAGCTGCGCTCGCTGCTCGAGCCGTACGGCAAGATCAACCGCATCTTCCTCGCGCCCGAGGACCCGGCGGCGCACGCGCGGCGCGTCAAGGCCGGCGGCAACAAGAAGAAGTCGTACACGGAGGGCTGGATCGAGTTTGTGCGCAAGCGCGACGCCAAGGCCGTGTGCGAGCTGCTCAACGCGCGCACGATCGGCGGCAAGAAGGGGTCGTACTACCACGACGACATCTGGACGCTCAAGTACCTCAAGGGGTTCAAGTGGAGACACCTCACGGAGCAGATCGCGGCCGAGAACGCGGAGCGGACGAGCAGGATGCGCGCGGAGATTGGCAAGGCGAGCAGAGAGAACAAGGAGTTTGTGCGCAATGTGGAGCGCGCGAGGGTGCTGGACGGGATTGCGGCTACGAGGGCGAAGCGCGGGAAGCAGCAGGAGAAGCAGGGGGCTGGCGCGGCGGAAGCGCCAGAGGCGTCTGCTGGCGGCGGCGGCGGGGAGGGGGAGAAGAAGAGGCGGACGGTGTTCAAGCAGATACCCCTGGCGGAGAGGAAGAGCGGCGAGGCTGCTGCGGCTGGGAAGCCGGCGGGGGATGTTGCGAGGGTGCTCGGCAAGATCTTTTGATGGGCTGGGCTGGGCGTGGGTGTATGGTGTGTGTGTATGTATGCCCTCTCGGCAGTGGGAGCGGCAGCGGCAGCGGGAGGGACCCTCCCACTCTTTCTTGTTTAGACTACCGTTGGTATTGAAGCATAATCGATCTCCATTATAGGACGAAAAGGTTCCTTGGGATCGGTAGTTGCTCCTCCTTGATGAGGCAGCTAGAGGGGTGTGAACTGCCTGCTGCTGCGGCGTACGGACGCCAAGAGACGGCTGTTGGATCACCAAGTTGCCAAGGGCCCGGTGATGATAAACGTCTGGCGTCTTGGCAATGAGGCGATGAACGAGAATGTTGTGATGGAAATCTATTCTTGTCGTCTTGACGGATTGTAGTGGGTCTTGCTCAATATTGTTCAGCGTTTTGCAATACGAGACTACACTCGTATCAACAACATATAAAATCATCAATGTATTTTAACAAGTGTGCACATGTGAAGTTATTCACGACTACCGGTCTGTCTCTGTACTCGGCAATTTGGTGTTGTCTCCTGTTCAATTGCCGAAAAACCTCATCATCTCACCGGAAGCCTCACTTACACGCGTCCCCTCAACACCCGCCTTCCCACCACCACCACCACCACCACTACCGACAGTGCAACCACCACTCACAGCGCCAAGACACCGAAGACATACATCATCAACCTAATGCCCCTCGTCATCGTAAACCATCACAACAACCACCCGTCCAACACCACCACCAACCGGTCACCAACATCGCTCTCTCGTCCGCCGCAGTTACCACATCACCATCAGATGGCAGCCGCCGGCGCGGCGCGGACAAGACGCACTCCACCCCCATCCCGCCGCATGAAAGCCCGTTCAGCAGCCTGCGTGGGTGGGTGGGTGCCGTCGGACACCAGAGTCCGTCTCGGCCAGGTAAAACCTACGCCGCCGAACCTGCCCTCTGCTTCTCCAAGGCCCCTCCCTGACTCTCTTTCCTCACGCCCCCCAAAACCGTCTCATCCTCCTTCCCGCCCCAGCCGGCAGACGGCACGGCCGCGGCGGGGAGGTGGAGGTCTTGGTACGGGCGCGCGCGTCTGGGCAAACTGCCGCAGCAGTCTGGGGAAATAGGACTTAGGGCGTAAGAGAACACAAACGAGGGCATGGAGGACGGCACCGGGAAAGGGCGGGAAGCAGACATGCCCCAAGCCCACGCGCCGAGGGGTGGTCGATGCCCTGGGGTAAAAAGGCGTTTCGGCGCCGGCGTCTATGCATAATCCCACGCCCAAAGGAAACAAAACACAGAGCAATGGGTCCCGCGGAGGCGGGCGGCGGCGGCGGCGGCAAGCATAGACGCCGCAGTCCGTCGTCCGCGGGGAGGGAAGACAGCAACGACACAGGGGCCACCGCCGTCGTGCTCGCCATCGGACTCGTGATTTCTGAAACGACATCGCCGAAGGGCATGGGGTCAGGCGTACTGCGTCCCAAGGTAGGGGAGCCCTGCCGCGAAACGAACGAAGAGCCTCCTCTGCCTCCGCGGGGTGCCGACCGCACCGACCACGAAAATCGGCGATTAGAAACGGTTCGGCGACGGGAAGAGGATGGGGGCCAGTGGAGGGCCCAGGCAGTCGGCACCCTAAGGCAAGGCGAGGCAGAGGCAGAGGGCACGTACAATCGTCAAGAGGTGTGCAGCACGGACGACGAGGGCAGACGAGGAAGGTCGGGGAATGGCGATGGACACACGTCGGCAGCGGACGGGCTGGCGTTGAGGCTCGTGCGGGAGTGCCGGACGCACGTCCGCCTCGCTCGTCGACGACGGCCGTTGAACGGGGAATTGGGATCAGCCACACACACATACACCCCTCCCCCTCCTTATGAGGATTCGCAAGCGGCGGTGATAGAGTTTCTCAGAAGGCACATCGCCGACTGAGGTGGCCAGTGCTTCACCCTCCCCTCGACGGCGATAACGACAACGAGAGACAGCCCGACAGTGACACAGAGAAGAGACAGAGAGGACGAGGCTTTGAAGCGCATGAGCCACATTGTGGCCTTGTCTATTCTTCCTATCCCAACGACGACGCAACGCCCACCCCTGCTGCTGCTGCGCCGGCGTGCGAGGTATCTGATTCTGATGCATACACGCCTTGCCCATCCCTAACCGTCCCATCCCTCGTTTTTGAAGACATTTTAACCCTGGACGTTGTATTGTTGCTCTGTGCCCTAAGAAACAAACGCTGAGAGAGGAAGCAACGAACTTCGTCCCCGCAGACGGCCACTTAACCTTAACACCCCACCGGGACCGCGTGAGTGAAAGTAGGTAGTCGGGGCATCTCCCGCACAACCAAATTTCCGTCGCATCCCGCGTACGACACGCACACGCCCCCCTCGCCCCCTTCCCGTCCCGACTAAGCTTAATCCTGAATCTGGAGTTCGTCCATGTCGTCGAGGAGCTCATCCATGTCGACCCTCGGCGCCTCGTCATCGTCCTCCGTCTCGGCGATGGACATCGCATCGGGGTCGGCGGGCTGGTTGTTGGCCTTCTGGGCGCGGTAGATGGCCATGGTGGAGCGGAACTCGTCGTCCTCCTCGACGTCGCGGAGGAACTGCTCGTACTCCTCGTCCATGCGCTCCTGGTCGGCCTTTTTGGGGAGCAGCTCGCCCTCGTCCTTGGCCATGCGCTTGAGCTTCCAGTTGCGGGTGCGCGTCTTCCTCTTGCGCGCGTAGTGCTTCTTGACGAGCACGACGTCGGGTATCGTCGAGCCGTACGCGTGCGACTCCTCGATGGCGTCGAACTCTGGGTTGTTGAAGTTGGTGCCCGTGAGCATGTAGCCCATCACCGAGTCGCCCGCATGCAGCAGCCCGCCGAGGTGCGTCCTCGCGAAGTACGTCTTGTCGTTGACGCCCAGGTCCGCCGCGCGCATGACTTGTACCTCGCCGAGCTGCCACTTGCCCCTTGAGGCACCTGTCGGCTCGATGTCCATGACAATGAACTCGACGAGGGACTTCGCGTCGGCGAGCGAGTTGAATGGTGCGCGCCAGTAAATGTCTGAGGGGATGCTTGCTGTCTGGAGGGTGTTTGTGTCGAGGAGGTATACTGCGGTGCCGATCTTGTGGCAGATGACGAGGGGAGAAATGTTGCCCAGGGACTTGGCCAGCTTGATGGGCATGGCGACAAGGTCGTCACGGCATATGGGGATAAGCTCGGCCGAGAAGGTGAACTTGTATGACTTTGTGGACGTGTGGATATCCTGAGAAATAAGCTCCTGCGCCTTCTTGACGCGGCAGGGGGCCACAGAGTTGAGGAAATCAACAAACTTCTCGGCCTGATTCCTTGCGGAGAAGAAGAAGTCGATGCCGTCCTTGGCCTCCTTGATGTTCAGGGTATCTCTGTGCGCTCCGTGCTTCATAATCAACTGCTCGAGGTAGAGGAACGTCCTCTTGTGCAGAACCTTTTGTCTGACCTGGACGCAGGCGCGCCAGACGTTGGCCGTGTACGACTTTGCGCAGTCGGGACATTGTTGGTATGCGACGATGAAGACGGCCTCGAAGGACTGCTGGAGGAGAACGCCGCTCTGCACCTCGTCCTGGATGGTGATCTTGACCTTTACTCGTCTCGAGTGCGGCTCAGTCCACACAAAGGAGGCGTCGATGATGCGGACCTTGTGCAGGCCCTTGAGCTTCTTCAGGCAGAGCGCGAGCAGCTCGCGGGATTCGGGGGCGGCGACGATCCAGCTGGTGGGCGGCAGAAGCCAGCGGTCGCAGTCTCGGCAGAAGTTGAGGGTGGCCTCGCGCTGGACGCCGTTGGAGATGTCGACGGTCAACTTGATGCAGTCGAAGCACAGGGCGTTGGCGGCGGTGGTTCCGTCGATGGGGGCGCCGCAGTTGCAGCAGAGAATCGTGGCGGCCGTCATTTTGTTTGCGCTTCTCCCTCGATGCCCCTGTGTGTTTTGTCAAGATATTGCAAAAATGGGAGGGCGGCAGCCGGGGTTGATGGGATTTTGGGCTGTCGTATGGCGGGGTTGATCGCAAAATCCAAAAATTTCCAGCGATAAGCAATGGAGGGGTTGCTTATCATGGAGTCTCAGTCACGTGCGCAGACTTTTTTCTTCGTCCCCTGCTGCATCCACGGTGGCGGCATTAATAATCGGGCCTCCCACCGGTAGCGTCATTGCTGTCACACAGCGTGCAGAAGCGCCTGAAGGACCGGGGTTGGAGTACTGACTTGACAGCATTTTAGCAGCTGTTTGTCATCGAAGAATGCACAGCGGAAACCATGACAAATTGTCGTATATCGTTTGGTCTTTTTGGATCGAGAAAGCGGTTTATTGCGATTTCAGTGACTGACCGCTGGGCTCACAGTGACTCAAGTTAACTACAGCCAAGCATGCTATCCCCAAGCCCATCGGACGCCACCGAATGCTGTGATACCCAGGGGAAAAAGCCATGATCGGTCCCACGACGAGTGAGCGTCAGCACAACCACCAAAAACAGGCAAACAGGACTACCCCTCCACTCAAACCCAGCGATTCGGGTCACCGCCCCCAATACCACTCCAAGTCAGACGCTTGATCCCTTTCTCGCGCAAACCTAAGCTGTCGCCAGCGGCACAGCAATGCTTGTAAAGAAAAGAAGAGAAAATGAAGGACTCGAAGGTGTCAGGTTCCAAAAATTGAGTGTGCGTTGGAGAGCCGCCAGGTCCCCAACGCAGCAACAAAGCCGCGCCACCACGCGCCAGCTCCGCCCGCCAAATGTCGACTCGAAAGAGTCAAGTTCCAAAAATTGAGAAGTAGAAGAAGTAGAAGGAAGCAGCAGCAACCAACGACAGCAACAACAACAACAGCAGCACCAACAACACCAACACCAACACCAACAAAAGTCCTGCGAGAAGGGTCAGTTCGAGGAGCCAAAGATTGTGCCGCCCTGAGACAGAACGAGTGTCTGCAGGCACTCGAGCCAATGTGCAATGGCCGGGACTTGGTCGAGGGCCCCAACATTATTGAGCGAGGGGGCCCGACGCGGCTTGGGAC